ATTAAGTTTTAATAGATTGCATACTCTTTAGTTCTGAATATAATATGTATAATGTATAATGTAWAATGTATAGATTACCTATACATCATAAAAATAACGAGGGAAATTACTCAACAAGTGTATGCATTATATTATATATATTTTTATTAATCCTCTAAAGTCTAAAAATAAAAATTCTAAACACACTCTAGCTAATATAAGTTATAAATAATAAATTAGGTATATATTATATTATATAAAAATATAATCTTGACATAGGTAGTTAGGAAAACTTACATTTTCAGAACTTATTGTCGGCATAGGATCATAGGATCATCTCTATCGGCTAAAAAAGAATGCATGGCATCAAAACCAAACCATTTGGAGTGGTATAATATGTCGTTGGCATCTTTTAAAAATTATATTTGTATAAGTTTAATTAGTATAATAGTATAAGTACTTAATTTATAGATTTTCATTCAATTATTATTAATTATTAATTTTAAATTTTTACCTTTTCCAGTTTCATAGCTTTTTACTTTAGTTTTTACTCTTCGGTAGGAACCCTGTAAACTTAATATATTTTTTTTTAATTTCCTCAGCTGGTCTTTGCAAATTTTTGCCAAGTTACAACTAGCATCATGTTTTAAATTGTTTGAATTACATAACTCTTCTTGTAGCCTAAACTCTTCAATCAACTTCAGGCATTCTTTGCTATCCCACTCCATTTTAATTTACCAAAAATAATATATTTTATAAAATGTATAAAAAAATGTAATACAGCTTGTTTATATTATTTTTAATTTATATTTTAGTTATTAATTTATTTATTCATTCACTGATGCACGTTTGAATTAATATCCCGTCCAAACAGTTATGCGAATGCTCGCGGTATTCCTTGGAGCATGACAAAAATACCGACAGTGATCGGCTCGCCAATTCGCCATGCGAGTCTATTCGACCTATACGGCGAACGCTGACGAATACTTTCGAATGCTCGTGAATGTCGTCTACACGCTCGCATGAAGAGTTGCACATGCACGTGCGTGAGTATTTGCTAGTTTAGTTTTCTCGTGTATACACGCCTTTACAATGTCTGCCCGATGCGCGGTTGTGGACTTAGATCAATCCAGGAGCTATTTCTAAAAGCATCCTGTTTGAACATTTAGTTATTAAAAGAAAATTAATTTCATGTTTTGTCTTTCTTTTGTCACCATTTGTGTTGTTCGGATTCAATATTTCCCATAAGTAAATTTTCAGGAGGGAACAAAATAACAAAATTCTCAAATTTAAGCTAAATAAAGGTTAAATGTAATTTCACCACATAAAATTTACAAATATTATATATTTTATTACTATATAATTTGGTATCGGTAAATAAAAATAGAAAATTTCTTTGATTCATTCCAAAAATATTATAGTGACATCTTGAATGAAACTATTTTTGTTCAAGTTCACTTTTTCACAATGAACGCTCGTCATAGGGGAAAACACTAGAAATCTATTTCGTATTCCAAAAGTTAAACATTTTATTTTATGTTGTCAATGTCATGCTAATATTTATTAAATTATAAGATACTTGTTTACTATCGCCCCGGTAGTAGTTACACCGTATAACATTTATCGCATCTTTTTGTTAAAATAGATGAAAGTTTATTTGTGTGTAGAAACAATAATACTGGGTGTAATCTGCCACAGCAATTTATTTTTGCTTGAATACCTATGTCGGGAATTTGATAATCAGTGTATCTGATCAATCGACCAATAATATAAAGATATATGTATAAGACCTGCAGGCTTAATAATTTTGTCAGATTGTTGGAAAGCATACAATAATTTACAGCAAGCGGGATTCACACAAAATACAGTTAACTAGTTCATAAAGTTTTTTCAGGGAGGGACAAGACAAGTGCTTCGTCTTGTCAGTCCTCCAATTGGCGCCCATGAATTCTTGCCGTTGATGTTTCAGGCCATTCAAGTGCCGAAATGCATGTGCAGCGTTTCATTGATATCAATAATAATTTTGCTAGTCGCCGCTCTGATGACAAAAATCGGTGTATACCGGTATCGTATGATTTGCCTGATTGCACTGGCGTTATCTTTTAATGGTAACTTTACAATACATTTTACCGACACATCCCGTCTTATATTATTTTTAAAGTGCTCTACACAAAGTTTTTCTTCATTCGACCAATTTTCTTTTGATGTACATTCCTATATTTTCCAAAACATTTCAATTTGTTCCAATAAATTAATATCGTGTTCCATACATGTGAACATACAACTGTTTAATGCAATCTTTGCACCTTATGCATTTCCTTSTGCCACTATCCATCCCCACTTTTTTTCTTGTAGGCATAAACAAGACAGATTAACTTTAAAAATATTAGTACTCATAACCTCCCAATATGTGTCTGCTCCTATTAATATATCTATTTTTCCGCGCTGGTAGAAATACGGATCTGCTAGTGTGATATTTTTGGATACCAGATTGGCATACATGTTATACGATTACAATCATACATCTATACATACTGTTAGGTACTGATTGTAGAATTATTGTGTCGGTATTATCCATTAGGTGCCGACGTGAACAAGAGTGTTTCATTTTATAGTTATGAATARTATATCGTATAWTAAAAGTGAACGGGGTAAAGATAAATTAATATTAAAAGGGTATATTTATGGAACTGTTATGCTTATTTAGCAGAAAATATTACAAGAACAAACAATTCTGTCGAAGGTTGGCATAATAGTTTTTCATCTACATTAAATKYAATTCATCCTAGTATTTGGAAGTGTATTGAGGCGCTTAAAAAAGAAGAATCATTAAATAAAATCCATGCTGAACAGTTTATTGCTGGACATTCTATGGGCGTTAAAAGAAAATATAAAGACTTYGCTGAAAGGTTAAAAAATGTGTGTGATGACTATCATAATAGAATAACAGAAGATTACTTAAGAGGAATAGCCCATAATTTTCAGTTAAATGTTTGAATATTTATGTAGGCATAGTAATTTATTGTAATATTATTTTTCTTGGACAGTATGTAAATGTATTTGCATAACCTAATTTATAGTTTTTAATTAAATGAAAAATTATACTATTATGTTATTTACTCGTACTTATTAATACATTTTACTATAGCTACGATGAATTATTGTAAATTGGTGAATTGTAAATACGGTGAAATGTTGGCGGTGAATTATCACAAGGTGAATTGTCCGCGATCCCCAAATAATATGTCGACGTAATAGGTATAGGTACATCGCGTTTGTTATTGAACATTGCCTGGTATTTTCATAATCGAGGCGGCCATTCATATCAGTTGATTTGATATCTGAGTTATCTCGATTATTTATTTGTATGTTTTTACCCATTTTGATATTATTTATATGCAGCAGCGAATTATGCGATTTGCTGCATTCATTGCATCAACCTTTTTTATCTTTCAAATTTTGAACACTGTCTAGTTAATATGATACCAGTTGTATTGTGATATATCGTTAGGTATTCAATCTATATGCAATATGCCTAATGCCTATTATAATATAATTGTAATTTATAAAAGCGAAAAAACCCAATCCCCACCGGCCACCGACTCGTTCATTTGTATCCTGTTAATTACAACTATTTATTGTAAGATAATAAAAATTATCCACAGTTTACTAATTTGATAATATTCAAACATAACATTCTATGCTCGCGTATTTATTTTATGATACTATAATAATCGTGTGGTACCTACCTAAAATCGTAGAATACAACATGTRTTATCATAGAATTTTTGAAAATATATTGTTTATTTAAGTAGATATTAATTTATAAATCTTGGTTTAAATAGGAATATTATTATAATGTATACATTCTAAAATATATAAAACGCTAGTCTACAATAAATTTGTATAATATTAGTGCATCACATAAAAGTAGTCCAAAAATGTGTATCGACTTTAAAATGCTGCTATATATATATACCTAGTTATTATTTGTTTCGTTTAGATGAACAGTTTTCCGAAGCYGTTTTTCCCAATCAATTTTTCCTAATTAGTTTAGCTATTTTTTATTTTTTTATTCTACGTACTTGAATTGTTCTCATAAATAAGTAATTCTTATAATTATATTTCTTTTTTTATTGGAACTCGTTAAAAAAAAAGTAGAAAGTTGGTTCTTAACAAAATAGCCATATAATTCATTATGAACTATTTTTTTTCGAATCCAAAAACGTTATTTACATTTAATTTTATTAAATTTCGTTTTTTTATAATCAATACAAAGAATATAAAAAAATAGTATTACGAAAAGGTCTTTCCATCCCCCGTTTTTGACTTGTAAATAAATTATAATTATCTATATAATATTATGTATTAGTTGTATAATAATAGCGCGTAAGAAGCTTTATATTGTTTTTAAAATGATTAATATATTTTTCTAAGTAATGTTTATTTTTGATAAGTCTTGTGTAAATTCTTACTAAAAGATTGTTAGCACTTAATTTAAGCTTTGTTATCTTAGTACGTTAAGTTTAGAGAATGGTTTTATTTAACTATATATTTTACTTCAGCATATTTTATACTAAGAAGTGAATTTAGTTGGTACCTAGTTGGGTAGTCAAAAGTTAAAAATTTCAAGTAGTTTTCAAAAGCTTAAGAAAAAGCTAAAATTTTAAATAGTTTAACTGGAAATTCAAAAATATTTAGATAGATAGGTACCATATAATCTAGATGTATGCAGGTATTAGTAGTAGGAACGGCAACTTACTATAATCTGCAACTATATAGTCTACAATTTGATATATTATCTAATAATATATTATTTTTATCGAGAAGCATTATCTTAGCAACGTTGTATTGTTACAACAAAGGAAAAAATACACAGATTTTTACTTCAATTTTAATATTCGAGAAAATAACTACCTAATAGAAAATCGCGTAAATAGAAAAACAGACAAAATTTGACCATATAACACTAAATTCCAAGACCAACTACACTATTATACACAATACACACGACCGAAACGATGAGCAAAAACGGTGTTGATGTGTGCATATCAGCCCAATGCTGTTGCAAACTGATAACGAAAGTCCCGGAAAAACCAGCACCCGTACCAGTTGTGAAACCACGAAATGCTTGCAGTGAACGTGCGAAAAAACCAGAAATGAGTTTATGCGATTTTTTAAAATCACAGCCTTTGCCGGACTGGATAAAAGCCCTGCAGGATAATAGTGGTAGGGCGACAAATTCAAAAGACAAGCAGTGTGGCTCGGTAAGGTCTGTTGCAGCACCAGCTCCAGTAAATCGTATTTGTAGTGAACCCACTGATCTCAGAGCTAAGCATTCTCAAAACCATCAACAGGATATTCACCAGAGTTCGAACCAACTCCCGTCCGCCGTCCATGAAGATCGTAATATGTCACAGATCATCATCAATATCGGGACGATGATAACTAACAGAGTCTGTAAGCAGAACTCATATCAGCAGACCGATCCGGAAGTCCAGACTTCCGTCGGTCCGCCAACCAAACGTCCGACTTCTGCCTGTCCACCAGTTGAATGTCCAACATCCATCTGTCCTAAAGCCGAAAAATCGACCACTGACTCACCGCCGGCTGAACATCCAACTGCTGTCATTCCCCCCAAAGTCCAACCACTTGTGATTGGATCTATTCCGGTATCACAGGACCATTCCTGTCGATACCAGGGCAACCCATCGTCAGCTATTTCGAGCACGGAACAGAAACCCTTTTCCGAACCCAAAATTAAGTCTAAGATGAACTGTTGTTGTACTTGTCACTCGAACGTATAACCTCCATAGAACAATATAACTGACGATACAATTATTTTACGTTTTTAACCAAATAAAAATAATACAGTCCCAATACGTACAGTCGATATCCAATCTGATGTATCATTGATCCACAAGTCTGAGGACAAGTGAAAAAACATAAATATAACATTCAGTTAAAATTATAATATAATAGATATTTAATTTTATAGAACATGATAATAATTTTAAATTTTACGTAATATTGTCACGTACTCACGTCTGACAATGGGATTGTAATGGACAATGGTCTTACCTATATAACTTATACTTTTTTTCTTCTTTTACGTTTCTCGGCACAATAGCWAAAGTTCAAAATTTTTGACAATATGATAAACACGAATCTTAATRGAGTGTCGTGAAATGTTATCAGTTTATCACTAAATTAGGAAACGCTGTATCCAAGGATGCGCAATTGACACGGCATTTCGTCGACGAAACCAATATCAATGACCCATAAAGCATATTATTTGTGAGCTTGCAATTTAAAAATTAAAACTTATTATTTACCAACTTTTACTTTTTTATATTAGGTAGGTAATGTTATAATAAAAATTTTCGATCTAGCAATAATTTTTACTTATGTTGTATGGATAAAATTATCGTACAATAAAAAAATAAATAATTTAAAAAATATCTTAAAGAAGATTATTGAAATTCGGAATTCTGTATAAATTTATTAAATTTGTTTTTATTTTTATGATAATTATATTTTATATAGGTACTTATAATTTGATACAATTTGATTTGCATAAAATTGTAAGTTTATCAAGACTATTTATTTCAACAATCTAAATTTTAAGAAATTTATTTGGTACCAATTAAAATGCATGCTTCGATGGTAGTGGATATATGAAAAACAGAGACTGGTACTACTTAAGATTTTTAGAATATTTGATGTAAAGTTTCTTGTTCTGGTTCCGATTTAAGATACTATATCGTCTAGCTATATCTCTAGATAAAACATAAAAGTGATAGTAACAGTACAGTTGAATATGTAGGTACAGCGCTTATATGCATTTATAATAACCAATAAATTTGGTACAATTGTCAAACACTCAATTTGATAATATATAGGTAACTAGGTAACATGAAGAATATTACATAATAATATATTCAAGATAATTACATCACATGTAAAAATAGGTACATATTAAGTAAAATTAAATAAAGATAATATGAAGGGTGAAAATTAATTTTAAAACAATATGTCACAATATTTTCTATTATCATCTTATTAGTAACTTTATTTAGTAATAAATAGTATGGTAGGTAATTCGCCCATTTTATAATATTTACAATATTATGTTTATCTAATTTTTTCATTTCTAATTCCGTAATTTATAGCCGATTAATTATCTCAATAGGTAATAAATAATTTAACTGAGAAATATTTTTTGATTTTTAAATAAGAAGAATTATATTTTATACATAAATTCATATATTATTGCAAGCTTAGGCTAAAAAATAATTTTTACTGGGTATCTACTTAAAATTTTATATTCACATTAAAAAAATATTTATACTATAAATTATAAATAAATAACATCCCAAAATAAATTAAAATACGTCTAATGAATGTATGATCGTTGAACTAAATTAGATTTGAGTAAAATCTAAAAGTAAGAAGTAGGTAGGTAGGCATAATCACATAGATATGACATTTCTAAGTTATAATATTAACAACCAACTTTTTTTTTCACAGTATGTACATACATATTTATGTACATTTTTATCGAAGTAATAAAACTATTACATTTATTTATATTTTTAAATTCTGCAAATAAGTAACACAGTATTTTTTTATTAAAAAACGGAAAACATATAAAAATGTATTTAAAAAACACTTGTTTTTGAAAAAAAATATTAAAAGACATAATGAATGTTATTATTTATATTACTATATTTTTCTGTTAAATAACTCTGTAACAGTTCAACAGGTGTATGCTATACCTATATCTAACCAAACACAAAACATRTGACATAACTTGAATAAAAAGTAATATTAAACCATAGTGAGACTCCATACATTATAGATATTTATGTAAATTGTAGATGTTCTATGAATTGTAAACACTAACTTTAGTCAATTTAATGAACCATTTATCAAGGAGACTATTATAAGTAGTTACTATACACAAAAATACAGTAAACTTTTTAAAACTTAATTTACTTTGATTGGATGAATTTTAGTATAAAAAAAAATTTAATTCACTAATGAGATTAATGTACAGTGTACTACATATTTAAATTTTAATATTTGTCATACATTTTTGAATTTTTCAAATCGCTAAAAATATCTTTATCTCAGTTTGCATATATTTTTTTGTTTAAAAGACAGCCTTTTAGATTGATGATGATAATAATTATTATCATCAATAAATATAGTATAATATAATATTAAAACCTTTTATAACTGTATATCACTAGATTATTACTTTATTAATAAAGTAGGTAGGTACCTATTACCGGTAGGTGCCTATATCATATCATAATGAACAGTTTTAGTAAAATATTATTAAGCACCTAATTAGTAATTACTTTATAATAACATATTTATTTCTACAAAAATCAAGACAATTTATTAAAAAATTTAATATTAAACTCTAACAATATGAAATGGTTTTTATCATAATTTAGTATTTTTGGTTTAGTTTTCAAAAATAGTTATATCTAGAGCGCAGATTTCTACTCATTAAAATGTGACAAAACCATTCAAAAATCAAAATCATAAAATTATGCTACATAATATATCCAATAAAAAAGACTTTAAATGTGCAGTATGGTAAAAAGTTCATAATATTATTAAAGAGCTTTAAATTAATGACTAAAAAATAATTTAAAACAAATTTAAAAACTTRTAAATTTAATATAATTATTGGTAGGTATATCTATCTAATTAATAAACAAAAATTTAGAAATTTATAATTTAATATTGTTAAAAAAAATTATCAATTTGTGTCCTCAAAATGTACCTATTATTAAATAATAAATTGTATGCTTTATWAAATATAATTTTCTATAATTTTATTTACCCAAACATAAATTTCAATACCTATGCATTGCTAACCTATGTTAGTTRTTGAATAATAAATTATGAGATTATATTATAGAAAAACAATTAATTAAAGTTACGGTTTACATAGTAACCAAGCTTATACATATAGGATCTACAGAGCATAAAAAAGACTATAATAAGCTCCAAGTTTTTATTTATTGTTTTATATACATTTTACAAAAAAGTTAGTAAAAGTAAACAGTTAAAAGTAAATTCATTTAAAATTTTTMATTTTTTTGTTTTTCAAACTGAAGTAAATAGGTACTTAATATTATTTATTAATGATATCTAACAAATAAAAATCTTAATGACAGCAAATATTGTCTTTCGTATTGTGTATAAATGTGATTTCTTAATTTATTATGAATCATAATTTTTTTTTTCAGTTAATATTTTGTAGGTATTAACCATTTATTCTTATCAATTAATTAATTTTTTTTAAATATTTGGTTTTTTAACACATAATAATTTTTTATTGTATATTTTTGAATTTTTAGGAGCATACCTATTTAACAACAATTTTTGCATCAAAATTCGTGCCCTATTTAAGATTGCAGTCTATAATTAAACAGAGTATCGACCAAGTTATTTTTATCGTAAAACAGTTTTTACAAACAATTTTTATTACCTAATGGGAAAATKGTGTCGTTAAAAAGTAKCCATGGTTAAAGTAACAAAATCATCGAACGCATATAACTCCAACATGAGACAAATGTATTTTTATTGTAGGTATACAATAATTGATAAAATAGTATTATGTTTAAGAATTGGATATGATAAGGATTAAAAAATACATGTTTTAATTATTTCTAGTAATTACAACATGAGTCTAATCAGTAATTGTATTAAAATGTATCAATATAATTATGAAATATTCAAATAATAAATTATAGTATTAATATTTATTATATTTTAAGTGACTAGATTTTCCTATCTATAAACTAAATAATAGTTTATCGTATGCATGGCAGTACGCATAGCTAAATTAATACATATTATAAAGTAAAAACTATTTAGATAAATGCTTATTCAAATAAAATACATTTTTAACTTAATAAGCCATCAATCATTATTTACACAAATTTGTTTGTACCTGCCATTATAAGTAAAGAAAACGCAAGCAATAATTMCAATTAATTGATAATGTGTTTATAGTGTGGAAAATATTCTCTATATTATAATTATTCATTGAAAAGGGACTAAAAATTATTAGTCTGAACACAAAATCATTATGCTTAATATAAGTATTTTATGTTACAAAGATGTGCATTCATGTACAAAATATTATGCTTTTTAAWGTCCGTCTACTTTATACAGACATATCGAAAATATAAAATAAATTTTTATTATAACAACTATGATGGTATAATAATATAATATATAATATTGTTATTGTGTGTGTAATGTTTATAATATAATATGTATTAATAATAATGTATGAAAATCACATTATAAAACTCAACGACATGTTATTCACTTAAAAGTGTTAGCAGTCCAATCATTTATATTTATTAGGTACATATTATTATATCATTATATATTTTGTTATAAAAGCGGTCATCGGCGTAACATATTAAGACTGTGGAGAATCTGGCGAAGCGTTGGGTGAAGCCAATGAAGGTTTAATGGGATACATCGAAGCTTGTAGATCAAAACCTGGTGGCATTGTCATTGTTCCTTGAGCCTAGAAATAAGAATAAGGAAATAAAAATGAAACTGAATCATAAAAATCAAAACGACAAGGAAAGTTGTACGTTGCAGGTAATTTAAAATAATAAACAGGTGAACGATTTACAATGATRTTGTTCTTAGGTAAAATTTGTTCTAGGTGCCTTCTCAGGCATAATTTTACCTGTATGTAAGTGATCAGTCTTCTTAATTCTTCTAGAGCGTTTGCTTGCATTAAAATGTAATTTTTCGCCAATAAAAGCGTAGCGATTTTCGACAATTTCCTGACGGATGGTGAATGAGCATATGGTATGACGCTTCTGAGTTCGTCTAGCGCATCGTTCAAGTCATGCATCCTTCTCCTTTCCCGAGCATTGATATTTAATCGGACGGACTTACCTTGCTTGGACTTGGACTTGCCTCCCACACCGGACATTGCCGAAGTGCCTTGACCATTGTTAGGTATTCTAAGTATAAAAAACAAAAAAAGACTAGTGTCAAATAGTAAACATATGAGTAAGCTTAAGTGGTGTATATTTGTATATTAACAGCACTTTGGGAGATCTCATCAGTTTAGGTAGTCATTTTCGCTTGCTCTACAATGTTACGCATAATCATAGAATTCGTAAAAAGTGCAATGAATCCTCACAGCATTTTTCACAGGTATACATTTTTTTGACCATTGTTGAAAATGTTTTTATTTTAAGCTTATTAATAACAACACCCAGTTATAATGTAAACATTTTCATTACATTATTCTTTACATTACAGTTATTCAATAATCGGTTTCGGATGTACTCTTACCCTTTTACCATTAATAATTTTTTGTAAATTCATGTTTTTTGATGAAATTGAAAATAATTACATGTACGGATGTATAAGATAAGAAAACGAAAAATTTATTTTTAGCAAAACAAAAAAAAAATAATAATAATAATAATAAGTACTACTTGATTTAAAACGGATTATTATTTACTGAATAAATTACTAAAGTAATTTTTTTATGGCCTAATAAAAGCTAAATGTACAAATTAACACCTTTTGAAAAACGTTATAGTTATACGYCACACAGTAATGTATTAATTTCTAGTTAACTTAGGATGACAAATGACCATACGTCCATACGTCTAGCTGTTTTATACAGGATTGTCCTTGAATTTGGCTTTGTGTTCTGTTGTCATGACAAACTTCTCTAGGACGCTTTTTGTCCAGTGATTTCAAGTCTGTCCCATATTAATCCCGTTTTTTGCCTTACACATACTGTTAATTTTTAAATTCATTTTATTAAAAAATAGTTTTTTACATTATTTTTGTACGGTATAATTTAATCGAATAATATAAGAACCTATATATTTTCAGATGTGTATTTTATTTTTGTATTTTTGTTGTTACCATAATTTTATTATTGTTACATCACAATGTTGTCGTCGACGTAAACCRTATGTATAATAGTATATTTACTATATAATAAATATACGCGATGAAAAATCAAAAAAATTAACAATAATAATAATATATACTTATTATATTATGACATTATTATATATTTTTGTTCTGYATTTTATTATTTTAAAAATGGTCACACTAAGTTAAGCTGATAATATCTCCCTGTAAAAAAGGTGCTGTGAACATGCAAATTTATTCTACATACTTATTTATTTTTATTACAATACTAAAATCCTAAATGGACAAAAAAAGCAAGTTCTCGTACTAGACATAAGAAGCAAAGATCACCCATATGCCTTCATTTCTACTCGAATAAAACGAATTCACACTATAACATTTATTATATTTTTTGAAAAGATATTCTTAAAGGTAGATACTTAGTTAAGGTTTTGTCATAAAAATATAATTATATTTTGTATTACAGTAGATACAGAAAGTAATGCATATCTACATGTAAACATTTACAGGAAATTAGATAGGTACTGATGATTTTTCCTGTATAAAATTACATAATATTATAATGTATCCAACTCGGTATCCAATGTATCCATTCGTCAGATACGTTTGGCGTGAAACTTAATAAACAGCTCATAAGTACGGCTTTTGTTTACCTATTATCAGAACCATTATTGAATTGTTGACAAGCTGGACCTGGGCTATTTTCATCGGAGGCTACGGAGGATGGTTGCGGGAAATAATATCCTCCCAGTCCAACAGCACTCAGAGGAGTCCGTCGACCGGGTACTTGGTTAGATTCGCATGCGAAATATGTGCCATTGGTTTCCAAAGAACTAGACGTAAAATCCATAGTCCTAAAAAATAAAAATAAAATAATTTCTCAAAATATTGCATAAACTTGACTGAAACTATACGTTTTAATTTCTACCGATATTAATGTAAGCCTGTAGTCTGACGCATAATATAAATGTTRTGATTGAGACACTCTAAAAACGTCAATTGAATCAGCATATCGTAATAATAAGAATTTATTGCATATTCAAATAAATGTATCATAATGAATAATATATATGCATTTAATTATTAATAAATAACTAGATACTATATATTCCAATTAGAGAATAAGATAATACATATAATTGGTATATATTAAGTACAATATGTAAATTGATGTCACAAATCGGAGTGTTAGGATAGGTAAGAATACCAATTATCACAATGTACTATTATTGAAAACAATTATATCCAATTTAAAATTCAAATCAAAATTATTTCAAAATAATTTATTTATGCATATAATATATTATAATTATGTAGCTTATAGATACATAATAATTAAAGACAGTGGCGCATCCAATGGGGGGAGGGGGGGAGCTTCAGGGCCCAAAAAATTGTTTTTTCATTAAATTATAYATTATTATAGCAAATAATAAATTTATTTAGAAATAATAAGAATGTTTTTTTTTTTTAATGTGTATAATAAAATACTCTGTAGAATTTTAAATTTGAAGTTTGAATGGAGACAAAAATTCTAAATAAAAAAATTATGATTAGTTAATTACAATTCCATTTGTCAACAAATGATTTTAGCTCAGTAGGTATTATGTGTATAATATATCAAATACTTATTCATATATATAGCGGATCAAAATGAAAAAATAATATTTTTATTAAAGGTTTTCGATWTCTAATCAAACTATACCTATATTGAACTAATACAGCATACATGTCTGTTTACATATAAATAAACACATATATGTATACAATATATATTATATGCATATTGCATATTATTATAGATGATATATAAATGAGTTTAAATGCTATTAGAGCACATCGTATACATGCAAAATTCATTATTTATTATAGGCTCACAATCTCAATTAAAAAAAAAGTTTTTTAACTGTATAATATATAATACAGTTGGAGTACAGTTAAGTGGGAATCAAATACAATGACCTTCCAGTGCTATAATGGTGCTATATAGTTCAATGTATAGTATATAAATATAAGTAAGTATATACGAAAATCCAACGCAACGCAGCGTCATTTTAAATATGTTAGATAGCAACAATTTATGTTTTCAATGATATTAAAACTATAAAATTCTTACAGAATCCACGTGAAACAGCTTTTTCATTTGTTGACAAACGGTAGTTGTGATGGCAGCGGCAGAGAGGCTACAGCAGAAAGGATATCCCTGTACAAACACGTAGTATATTGTATATACTATGTATCAAAACAACAATCATGACAGTAAACAATATATTGACCCGGTACCATATAATATATATAATATATACGACGATGATTGATGATTAGAATATATTATATATTATTATGTTGAATTAAAACTAGTGTCAAATATTATTCAAACAGTCTACGTACCTCGTATATGATATGCAACGACAGATATAATTAATATTCACGCGCGCTCGTCGTTGTACGATGTTTGGAGCGGACCGGCGGCGGCGATGACGACGTCTCTTCCGACTGTGATCCCGCGGTGGCGGTGATGGTGAGATGAAACGGGATAAAGCGCGCACCCCGTGTGTATGTGTGTGAGCGTGTATGCGTGCGCGCGCGTGTGTGTGAGCGTGCGTAATGTTTGGGACTCGCGTAAAAGTCGATAACTGATGTCGTGGACCACCACCGCACCGCGACTGCACCGCACCGCGACGACCGAAAACTCGTTTGGTTCTGCGAGTTCGGAAAACCGTATAAAGCGCGACGGTGGCGGCGGTGGCGGCGGCGATAAAGCCCTCGCAGTCGACTAGTCCCGTCTATCCACCCTCTCCGGCGCCATCCGCCACCCTTATAGCCATCGCCACGGCCAACGACTCGGTCACCCCGCACAATCGCTCGGCGGCGAGCTAGTAATCAGAAATCCGTGATTTTCAAAGGGATGACAGATGGTGCTGCGGCAGCGGAGGGGAGATCCCGGACGGCTCGGTGGCGACGAGCGTCGTTACCGTGGTAACCCCGCCGTGCCCGGCGCACGAGTTATCGACACCCTTTTTTTGGCGGCTTTTATTGTGAGGCTTTTGCTAACAGTGCCATCGCCGCCGCCACTACCGTTATATAATAATACATTACATGCACTCGTCCGCCCACTCGACTATCACCCACCCACCAGCCCCTCGAGTAAACAGGACCAAGGCTGAGCTGCTGCACTGACGGAGCACCACCACCGATCACCTTTATATTTATTATTATTATTATTTTTATTTTTTGTTTCGTTTTGTTTTTCGTTCCCTTCTGCACTACCGAAGTTACACCATTATCATTATTTTTCAGCTAGGACTTAGCGTAACGTGATAAAACACGCACATCAATCTGCAATCGTTGTTAATGTATRTTTTGTAAACATATAATAAGTGTATTTATATTTACATATTTAATGTATTATACATAGTTAACTGTTTAAATAAGGCTGTATAGATTTTGTATAATTTTTTTTTGATTTTGTTAATAATTTTCAATATTTGTTTGATATATACCTAATAAATTTTAATATACTACATTTTTACTACAATTTATTAGTTATAGATCAGAAGTAATGRCCACATCTAATTCAGCATCAGCATACCATTGCCAATTAATTTAATTTAATGAATATTTATAAAAATGTATTTATTCATCAYTGTGATACCTTAAAGTGTTAAAATTTTTAGTTATTTCATACATTTACAAAATACGCATAAGATATAATTTATAAAATTCATAAGTTGTAGGTTATACGGTTATAACATTCCAAACATAAAATAACGTAAAGTAAAATAATATATATTTTTTTTTTATCAGAAACTGAATTATATAATTATTTTATATAATTTATATCTATTAGTAGATATGGATTATTCTGTAGCATGTACCCATGGGCCACGGCAGGTTTTCTGCGCTAATTCGTCATTAAATGATATTATTTTAACCTATATCTATAGGGTATAGTAGATATGCACGAATTCGAGGACCCATTTACCTTATAAACATCTCGAATAGGTATAATTAACTCCACAGTTATTATTAAACAGCAATTATATTATTATTTCCATTTTATTTCCTCTCCGATCAAAGCCCGTTGTATTATTGTATTATAATTTACTACAGGTCCGTAGGTGACTGTACACAAATACATATTATTACATATATTATTTTGTATTGATAAATTCAATAAACAACATAGATGATTGAAAATATATGCCATTTTTAGGTGTTATCGAAGAGCATATTACTATATACAAAATGGTAACATGAAATATTAAGGTTGTGGTATTGAAAACTGATTAGTGATAGTTAAGTGATTACTAGATGATGTTATTACTGGTACAGATAATAGTGACGTTGGTATCTACTACAAAGTATAAATTATAATAATACCTACGTACTACGTACATATAATTTTATAATATAGGTATGTTATTTACATTCATTTTCATTGTATCTAATACCATGATGAACATGTAATACAATTATAATACTATTTTAATAATAGAAAAAATAATAATATGAAGGATATTAAAATATAATGCTACTTTG